TCCCTTTGCAGTTCAGTACCTTTTTCCTTAGCTTTGCTTTAAGTGCTGACAGCAGAGCTATACTCTGTGTCTTGGTAATGACTTCACCTCACAGGTAAGAACGCTAGCTCTGCTCCCTCCATTAAGGCATCTGACAACTCCATTAGCTTCTCTGCCACAGCATCACCTTAGAAATGCACATTTAAGCTGTTTATCCACTGAACTCCCAAAACACAGCTCTGCCGCTGCGTTCCAGGATGCCATTTGTCTCCATTCACACTCATGGTGTTGCCATGTGCTTTTACACGCCGCAGCCTTGGCACCACTTGGAACGTTTCTGCTCTGCCTCGCAGCCACGCCACCGCCTTATCGCCCTCTGCCACGCCATCAGTCACCGTCTGATCACACGTAAGTTTCAAACTGGACATTTTGTACTAAGAAGCAGTAATGGAAAACTGTGACAAGGATCAGCTTTTGCTGAACCTCCCCGGAAGCTCTTCCGTCCCACCCAGCCCTGGACTATTCCTCAACTATCCCAAACTGGACAGCTGATTTGTTTCCCCACTGATTCTGTGTAACAGTTTTCATTTTGTAAGGTTCTCAAGATATGTTTACTAAAGTCAAATAGTAAACTTACCAAGCTTTGGTTTCCTCAAAGCCTTATTTACAGGGATTTACTGCATGTTTCTCTCATTAACAAAAGGGAGAGTTGGCATTCACCTGAACTATTACATGCACGTAATCACCAAGCAAAGCTGGTCAGAAAGGAAGGTGGCTCCTGTGCCTCCACCCTGCACTCCACCACTGGGCACCACACTCACCCACTCCACCTCCTTTCATGCCAACACATCAGCATTTCTCCAACGTCCTGCAATTTCTCTGCTATTCCAAAGTGCTTCACCTATCCACTGCTCCTTCCGTTGCTACAGCCAGGGATGCTCCAGTGATCCAAGTGGGAAGAAATCTGCTGGCCAAGACAAGCACCTCTCTCCCCATCCCAACATACTTCTGAAATCCTTCTGCTTTTTAAAATAGAAGCTTTCAGAACAGCAACCTATTTCTAAATACCTCTAGAGGGAATAAGCACAGCTATGACTTCCCAATTAAGGTAAAGTAACTTGGTCCAATTACATAACAGATGTTATTTCTCCTCTGGCTCACAGAGAGCTGCTTTACCTGCTGATGTTTCAGAGACACACAAGCTTCTAATCTTCATGCATATTAATACAGACAGAGGTATATTTCATGCTGTGCTTTGGCTTCCATTTTGTTAGAATTTGACGCATTCAACGAAGTCAACGTAAATTTTTAGATTCTGGGAAGAAAAGAAGAGAGGTAAAATGAGACTTTAAGTATTAACTGAATTCGGTTCACAGCCTCTTTATGCAGCCTTTACACTTGAGTGGCTTTAGAAACTTCAGGGGTTTGTTTATGCGGCAGGGAAGGAAGGGATGAGGACAGCTCAGTCCTCATAAAAACAGCACCCGTGTGGGCAGGCTGGCAGGGTGCAAGGACAGCACCCAGCAGCACAGCAGCCCCTGCCTGCACTCCCGAGGCAGCAGATACACCCTAAAGCAGCAAAACCTGGGAGGGGCCATAAAACCAGACCCGTATGTAAAGAGCGCAGCCAAACAGAGCCAAGATGCAGCATTATCTGCACACCCATCTGTAGGGACAGCTGAATAACAGATCTTCAAGCTCCTATTCTATCACCCGTCTCCTGAGCGATGCATGTTAACGGCACACTTCTTGAGCACAGCCTCTGTGCTATTTCTGTATTTTCACCCGTTAACAACCATATTGCAAAGAGAAAGATCTGATCTCTCCCAAGTTCTTATAGCAGAGTAAGACTTCTGTTTGTATCAGACATCAAGACTGGACTGTTGAGTGCATCTGAACATTAACACCAGCTGAAAAATACAACTCCCCGCCCACCTCGTGTGTACTCTACTCTCCTTTTCAAGGTTACTTTGTTAACCAAAAAAATACTGAGATCACTGAGCCCAGCAGCTATTTGGTTTACTTATTAAGCATGCCGAGAATGAGCACACGCCACACAATTGCTGAAGAGTGACAGATTATTGGAGTGGGAGGAGCAGCAGAGCAGTGCTTTACCTGAAACGAAAGCATCCTTCAGTACAAAAAGAAAGCAACATCTTGAGTCACAGTCCACACAGGAGGGGTTCTAAGTTTCAGCAAATAAAAAACAATCCCACAAGAACAGCGTTCTGAACATTCATATGAGCAGTAAATATAATTTTGAGCAATAAACAAAGGGAAATTCACAAATCTGTGCTCAGAAGTCATGTAGCACTGCAGAGCGGTGGAGGTGCAAGCTGTGCTGAAGTGCCAAGGGTTGGTCCAACAGGCTGTGCAAGGCATCCAAACCCGCCAAAGCAACCAACAGGGCTTGCAGCTGAGCACAGCTCAGTACATTAACACAACTACAACAGGCTCCAAGCCCGAGCTCTGCTTTCTCCCAGCTCCACAGCAGAAGCTCAGCGGCTGAGACACCATGTGCACAAGTAGCAGTCGTGGCTGCTCCTCATGGGTAAGGGTTTATGGAGCACACAGTGATCCCAACCTCTCTCAAGCATTCAGTCTCTGCTGAAGACTAGGTAAGAGAAACAAAGTAGCCAGAAGGTAGAATCAGTTACTGCGCAAAGCTTTTAGGAATACAATCAAAGGGCAGGAGAAAGCAGCCCTGAACCTCACTGCATGGCTTGCTGGTGGGCTCTTGGCTACAGGAAACAGCTCCCCTTGCAGGAGAAAACGGCAGCATGGAAGGAATTTGCTATTTGCTTCTCCTTCCTCCGTACAGTGGGACAGGGCTGACATCTCCAGTACTTGTGATGCCCCACGTTCATTTGCACAGTAACAGTAACTTTGGCCTTGTTCTCTCCCTGCCTAAATTACAGGGTATGGCTTTGAGTGCTTTTGGCTTTTTCCTCAGAAATAACCAACACACCAAGAAGTGGCAGGATGGAGCAGGAAGAGCTGACCACAGCTCGCTGCCATGAGCAGGGATGAATCTGCCCAGGTACAGAGCACAAGGCCAAGGAACACGCTGGCTCTTCTCAGAGAGCAATCAGCCCAGCAATGCTCCACATCCCCCTGCCAAAAACATTAGCAGAAAAGCAGGATATTAAGCACTACGGGCAAGAGAAGGAATCCTTAAGTGACTAATTGTATACAAATTAATTAGATAAATATTAAATAAGCCCCAAAACAACACAGGTCAGCATCTGGCCCCTTTTTAGACAGAAGTATCAGGCAGCTACTGACCTGCAGCCACAAAGCCTGGTAGCAACACACACAGTAGTTCACAGCCAAGACACAGCCTGCCAGCACCAGGAGCAGTGCCTGGATTAGCTCTTTCCCTTGCTGACGGCGTGGGCAGGAGCTGCAGCAGGCTCAGCACTCCAGTGACAGCTCAGCGAACTCCCTGAGCCGTGTTAGTTCAGCTGCAGGGCCACTGGGGAGTACAGCAATCCTGCACCTTTTAACTGACGTCGTGCCTCAAAAATATCCTGCAAGGAGTTTCACGAGCGTTAAGGAAATCATTCTGGGCATCTTCCTTATAAATACAGAAGATATTAATACTGAATGAGAATCATAGAATCATTAAGGTTGGAAAAAATCTCCAAGATCACCACGTCCAACCTCAATCCACCCACACTGATCATGTCACATCCCTCAGTGCCATATTCCCATGGCTCTGGAACACCTTCAGGGTCGGGGACTCTCCCAGGGGAAATGGTTTTAAGTTGAGGGAGGTAAGATTGAGGTTGGATATCAGGAGGAAGTTGTGTACAATGAGAGCGGTGAGGTGCTGGAACAGCTGCCCAGAGAGGCTGTGATGCCCCGTCCATCCCTGGAGGAGTTCAAGGCCAGGTTGGATGGGGCCCTGGGCAGCCTGGTGAAGCATTAAGCGTGGAGGTTGGTGGCTCTGCATGCGGTAGGAGACGTAGAGATTCATGATCTTTGAGGTCCCTTCCAACCTGGGCCATTCTGTGATTCTATGTGATTCTGTGGACAGCTGTGCCACTGCCTCACGGCTCTGAGAATAATTTTGCCCAAATATCCAACCTGTGCTGATGCCACTGCACCTGCCTAGGACAGCAAGGGCACGTAGAGACTGCGCCCTCATTACAGCTTGGAGTTTGATAGTTTGGAGGTGTTACCATGCTTGCCACTGGGGTGACAGCCCCTGTCCAAAGCCACTTTTGGATGCAAAAGGAGCTCCCCAAAACACGACTGCAGCCCTCAAAGGACTTGCAAAACACAGTCCAAACAGAAAAGCAAAATGGAAGGAAGAAAATCAATCATCCTATGGAAAAAAAGAAAGCACTGCTTGGTTCATATGCTCAAGACCTTCTTCGGTCTTTGACTTCTGCACTAACACAGAAGGTGAGATGGGGCTGAAGTAGGAACTGAAGCTCAGAGCCACTCCTTATGCCCAAAAGACAGCCACCAGTTCAACAGGCTCAGCATGAGCAAACTGTGGGACCTGAAAAAACACTTACACACTTCCTGCACTGAAACAAATCTCAAAGCCGCACACAGAGAGCAGCTCAACGACACCTCTGGGGTTTGTTACCAACTGGAGGCACGGCTGAGTGTTGGGTGGGGGAGCAAGAGACGGGGTAAAAAATAGGAAGTCAGCAACAGGAAAGCGGGTGTGCTCTCAGCAGCAGCGCTGAGTGCTAGGGACGGGTACAAGGCACAAAACGCTGCGTCGAAGCCACCCGATAAAGGCAGAGCAGCGTGACTGACAGAACCTACAGCTCTGAGCATCTCAGTTGAGATCAAGTTGATGCAGGGCACAAAACCGTGTGCGATCGCCCCTTCCGCATGATTAAAAGCAGCAATACCCACGGGAGGAGGGGGGGGATGGGAGGAGGGGAGCAGCGCGTTTTCTAGCTCGGAGCTGAGCCCAGGATGGAGGCCTGAGATCGAGGGGAAGGGGGGGGGGGGGGGGGTGCGGGAGGGCAGCGCGGCGAGAGCGGGCGCCCCCCAGCCGTGCCAGGGCCGGCGCTGCATGGCGCTGCTCAGCCTGCCTTGCAGAGGGAGCTCGAGTCCCGCTCTGCGCCTCGCAGCGCCTCTCCCTCCGCAGCGCACACGGCGGCAGCGCAGCGAGGCGGCGGCGAGGCAGGGCTGCGGGACGGAGCGGGCCGAGAAAAAAAAAAAAAAAGCCCGAACCGCTTCCGCCGAATTCCGAAACCACCCCGAGGAGGTGGAGGAGGGAGAACGGAGAGAGCCGAAAGGAGGTGGGAGATGATAAATAAGGGGGGGGGGGGGAAACGGATAACGGCCGAACAGGGGGGATCCGGCCGGGCGCGGAGCGGCGGGGCGGGGAGGGAGGGGAGGAGGAAGGGAAAGGGAAGGAGAAAGGAGGGGGCGGGGGGGGGGAGGGCGGCGGTTCGCGTGGCGGGGAGGGGGCGGCAGCCGGGCCCCGGCGGGGCGGCGGGGAGACAAAGGGAGGAAAATGGAGGCGGCCGCGAGGGCCGGGCGGGCCGCGGCCCAGCGCCGCGCTGTGGGGAACGGCGGCGGTGGCAGCGGGCAGGCGCGGGCCGCGCTGGGGACGATAGAGGGAGACAAAGCCCCCTGCTTCCCCGGCGGCGGCCGCTGCGGGGCCCCAGCCGGCGCGGAGCCCCATCGTGACACCTAGAGGCCGGAGAAAGCGACTGCAAACCCCCCGCTCACCGCTTACCTGCGCCCGCGCCCCGCCGGGCTCGCTCCCGGCGCCGAGGCCCCGCCGCACGCCGCCCCGCAGCCGCCCCCGGCCCCGCGGAGCCGCCGCTCCCCTCGCGCCCCGCCGCGGCCGCCGCTAGCGCCCGGCACCAGCTCGCGGTTTAATCGCTCCACAGTCGCTTCGGACACAAAATGGCGGCGGGCGGGGCGGAGTGCGCCTGCGCGAGCGCGGCTGCCGCGGACCGCCGGCCGGAGCGGGGAGGGGAAGGGGAGGGGGGGAGGGGACGGCGCGCGCGGGGAAGCGGCCGCGCGCGGGGTGTGCTGGGAGGGCGGGGCGGGGCGGGGGAAGGGGGGGGGGGGCGCGGGGCGCGCGCCAACTTCAAACGCCGGGCTGGGGCGGCGGCGTCACTTCGTGTGCGTGCGTGCGTCACGTGGTTAGGGAGGGCGGGGCGGCGGCGCGCTGAGGGGAGGCTGTGCCCCGCCCCGGCCCGCCCGGCCCTGAGGGGAGCGGGGCCGTATAAGCGGCGCCTCGAGTTTTGTGTCCGTTCCGCATCCGCCCTGGGGCGGGAAGCCGCCTGAGCTGTAGGAACGGGGAAGGCGTGGCACGAGTCCAGGGTGCAGACAGTACCGAGGAGGCTTGAGGGGACGATGGGTGTTGCGAGTTGGGCGAGGAGCTGACGGGGCTGCCTCGAATTCGAGGGAAACCTCCGGGTGATTTTGTAAATACCGACGAGTTGGCGCTTGAGTGGAACGTGCTGAGATTTACCTCAGCGCCCAGATTTACCTCAGCGCTGGCAGAGGCGAGCTGAGGGCGCTTCCTCTGAGCTCACGCTGTGTCCCGTTTTTATTTTCTTACCATTGAAGCGTGCAAAGTGAAGCTGGGTTAAAATTTGAATGGTTTAAGGTGCATCGGGATGAAGTTATTTCTTCCTGCTTTGACACGGCCTACAGACAGGGAGCTCAGAGAAAAGGCAGAGGCCCAAACAGCACCAGGCTGGGCAGTTCTGGGGTTGCTGCAATTGAGGCTGATAATAAATTCCTGCTCAGATTTTTCCCTTGTGAGGTGTCATAGAGGAGCAAAAGCTGTTTGGCAGCCCAGCCAAACACCCCAACCTGCTTGGCAAGTGACAAAACTATCAGACAGACGCAGCATACATTAACGTGTGTAAATGGTGCCCTTAAATCTCAGCCTGAACATCAGTCATGCTGTGGAGCTGTCGTAGGGATGGGAAGAGCTTGCCAGGATGCTGTGGAGGAGGTGAGCTCTGTGCCTCTGCTTTCAGGGCTTATTTCACCTTCTGCCCTCCCAACCTTTATGTTGGTGGGAGGGCTGTGGCACCAGTGGTACTTTAAGGGCTGTTGGTTCATTTTGGAGGGTGATGGCACCAGCCCAAGTCCATTACTTCATTCCAGCAGGGGAAACAGCATGGCAGGCAGCTGCAGAAGGTGTGCTGTGGCTGGGATGTGGCTCTGATTCCTTAACCTCATCCGTAGGAGGAAAAAGCTAGTGACAAAGTGATGTCACAGATTGACAGTTACAGGAGGTGAGAGGGTGCAGCCCCCTGCTGTAACATCTGGGGATCTTAATTGCTTCTGTGGTGTGAATTTGATTACAGTTTTTTTATTATAAGCCATCAAACCATCGCTTCTTACTTTGAGGAGAGGAACATACGTTTCACGTGTGGCCACAAATCCTGCTTTAAGCTCAAAAGCTTAGGTCAGCATTGCTTAACGTGAAGAGGAGCACTGTCTGTATGTAAGATGACGTTTTACTTTCCTTTAAATACTCACACCAGGCCAGGAGTAACTGGCTTCTAATGTTCCATCTGCCTTTTCTTGGTAGCTGTCCAGTGGCAAATGTTGCACGTCCTTATGTGTGAGGAAGCAGAAAGTATTCTCAGATACTTTCTGTTGGCCTTTTCTTGGCAGAGATGTGTGCCAGTGTGTGCTGGGGGTGCAGCTGACCTCTTGGCCTCAGATCCCTCCATCAGAGGTGCTTCTGAGCTGATCTGCAGAGGATTCAAGTCTTTGCAATACATCCCTCTGCCCTACTTTCAGCCTCCCGAAAATCACCCTCCTAGCATCTCCAGATTAGACACCCAGAGGCAGATGTTGCTTGGAAGTTATCGGAGGCATCTGAAGTTATTTGTCCTGGAGCCGCTTGCTCATGAGCAGAAATTGTGGGAGCTAGAGCCAGGGAGCCCCTGGCTGCCTTGATGAGCTCCCAGCTCAGCTTTGAGCCCTCATTTCCTGCTGTTTCTGACTCTTGTTCTCTGATCTCCTTCAGACTGTATGAGGTGGGAATCACCCTCTTCTTTAAGAAGGAGAGCAAACATTAATGTTAGTTTAAACTTAGTTTTGGACACCGCCTGGAGCACGCTTTGATCTCTGTATGAAGTGAAGCCCTAGCTGTCACCTCAGAGGTGGTCCCTGAAGAACAAGCCCGTGGTGTGTGTACACAACAGTCCTGCACTGAACAGTCAGTGACCCTGAGGATGCTGTTGTTTTGCTACAGCTAAATGCAGAGCACTTGGCCTTCTGAATCTTTTATGAGTGTCCTAAAACGTGTGTAGTGAGTGCTTTGGAAGCACAGTTTCATACAAGCCTTGGCTAAGGTGAGAGGTCCAAATCTGAGCCTGCTCAAGCAAGAGAATCTCCAACTCCTGTGATCTCCTAAATGTGGCCGGACATCAAAATTTTGGTCATTTCTTAGTCAGGAGGGATGATCAGAGCTCGTGATGCCCCAAAGAGGCAGTGTCTGCTTGGGGTTGTTCTGTTTGGTGCTCTTGGGGTCACCGAATCTGATGTGCTGAGCAGCTGCACCTGCCCTGATGCTCTCCAAGGGGAGGACGCGTTGGCTGGTTGTTTTTTTGCTGGTATAAAAAGGCTGCGTGCTCCTTTATTTACAGGGAAAACAGCAGTAAGTGGGGTGAAGGAAAATCTTCCCAGAGCACGTGGGTAATGTAACCATGACACAGACACCTTCCCACGGACTGCAGCTCCTACAAAAAAGCAAGTGGCTGCAACAGTCATTGGTGCTGCTGAGCACACATGCACATCCGTGAGAGATGTTTGGAGTGCTGACACAGATTGGGCTGACAAACGTGGTGCTGGAGCACTGTCTCCTTTGAAACAGCAAACATGCTGCTGCACAGTGCACTCTGTGGTGCAGCATCCATCCTTGTGTGCAAAGAGTGGCACCCAGCAAGCTGATCCATGGAGCTGCACAATTCCTGCATAAGGGCTGGAGCACACGTGAAGTCCTGGAGGGAAAAGTTCAGTCCTCCCTTCCCCATCACCAATGGATCCTTGGTGATGCTGTTGCAAACTCATTCAGAACAAGGGGCTAGGCAATACGTTCCTAAATTGACTCATGTATATATACATTTATTTTTTTTTCTAGATGATGTTAAAGCCACACAAATGAGATTATTCCTGGGACTTCCAGGATCAGAGTCATTTTGTACTGACGTGCAGCACCCTGCCTGCCCTGACAGAAGGCTGTTTTCCTGCTCCAATCTCTGCAGCCAAGGTACAGCTTATCCTGGAAGATGGTATTCTGCTGCAGGGATGGGGCCAGGCTTTGGCAGAGCAAGGAGAACACACACATAGGCTGCTGGAGCACTGAACCGTTGGTATTTCCAGGGGTTAGTTGGGGGAAAAAGAAACGACACCGAACACAGTCTGGGCTACTTAATACCTTCAGGGTGTTTCTGTCCACAGGCTATTACCCAACTGCAGCATGTGCCAGCCAAGACCCCTGTTCTCACTCCTGCTGCCTGCAGCTGAGAGCATGATTCAGAGCTTTGGGAGAAACACTGTGCTTTTGGCCTGAGGCTTGTCCGGCCCCCAAGTAGGTGGAATAATGCTAAGCTAGCACTGATGGAGCAAAGCATCTCCTGCTCGTACCTTTCCTGCAATCCTGTCTGCAGATAAAGCCACATCCAAAAGCGGTTGCTCTGAAGGCAGCACCCTGACAGATGTCAGGTTTGTTGAGGTGGTGCTGTGTCTGCTTGATGCTACCGTGTCCCAGATACCCAGCACAGACCTGGGTGGCAGAGAACTGACCAAGCTGCCCTGAGCCTCCTCCTGGCCTTGCAGGCTTATGGTACTAAAGCACACCCAGTATGAGAGATGCCTGGGTGCCCTTGCTGCTGACGTGGTGCTTGCCAACCACTTGCAGTAAGCACATTTCCCATGTGGGACACCCTGTGCACCGTGGTGTGATGCTGCTGGAGCTGACCCCAGGGGTCTTTGCCACTGCTGGCACCTTTTGCTGCTTTAACCTGCTCCCCCATCAGAACTGTGATGGCTGCTAAGATGATTAAGAGATTGGAGCATCTGCCATATAAAAAAGAGCCTGGAAGAATGAAGGCTTGGAGCGGTTCTTATCCATGTCTCTCAACACTTGTGGTGGGTAAAGAAGACAGGCAGATTCTCCTCAGTGTTTCCCAGTGACAGAACGAGAGCCATACTGATAACAGAATACAGGAATTCCACTGAAACTAAAGAAATGCTTTTTGTGCAGGGGTGGCTGAACACTGGAACACGTAGCACAGAAGCGTTCTGCCATCTCCATCCTCAGAAACAGTCAAAACCTGACACGACGCGGTCCTGAGCAGCCTGCTCGAGCATGTTGAGTGGGGAGGAATGGAAGGCCGTGTGAAGGCCATGTTCAGAGGTCCTTTCCCAGCTCTATTCCGTAATTCCTCAAGCTGTTGTGGCTTGTTATCATTGTAATGAGACATACGTGGTGCTACCATTCTCACTTGCAGCCCTTGCCTCCCTTCTCTGCTCTGGGGCAGGTCAGGGTTTCCCTGTTCTGAGGGACCTGCTCTGCCCACTGCGGCGTGGCACCTTGGTGAGGCTTCCCATGCTCTGCAGCATCTTGCTAACTCTCACACAGCTCAGAGAAAGTGAAAGCTCCTTGTTTTGCTGAAAGAGACGCCTGCTATACTGCTGGTAAAACCAGAAGGTTGATCCTCACCTGAGAAACACCCAGCTTTGTCCAGAGAGCCACACACAGGCCATAGCTCCCTGCCAAACACCCACACAGCAACACCACGGCTCAGTAAAGGTTTGCTTTTATTTCTGGTTTAAAATCAAAATTAGTCATTCTCTGTAATTACATTATATATAGATTTATAGAGACATTATAGAAAAGAATTTGTTGCTTTTTTTTCTGAAAAAAAAAAAAATCGTAAATAAAAAATAAAATAAAACAAACAGGAACGAAAGGAAAAGGTGGCAGCGTCCGTCTGTCCGTCCCTCTGTCGCTCCTCCTGCCCTGCCCTCCCCAGCAGAGGGGAAGGGCTCTGGGCTGGGTTCCACCGCTGGGGAGGGACAGGAGCATGCAGAGCTGGAAAGAAGAAACGCCAGCAGAATATATTAATATATCTCATATCTCATTTTATTTAAGTCCTGTGGACTTCCAGGCGGCAAAAAGGGCAGCGGTTCCCTCCCAGCCCAGGCGACTTCTGGAAAGAAACAGCATCGCTTCCAAAGTGTGAGTCCTTCCAGGAAAGGGCACGCGGCCCCGAGCGACGGGAAGGCAAGAGGCAGAGAGGAATCCGCTGCGTCTCCCTGCCGCTCCGATCAGCAGCTGTAGCACGAAGGGTGGGTTCCCTGTGTGTTTTCAATAGCAGTCGAAGGGTGGGGTGTGCAGCGAGCCCCTCCTCGCCCAGGGGCGCGTGCGTGGCCCCCCGCGCGGCTGGTGTTCGGGGCAGGGGAAGCGGTGCTCCGTAAGGCAGTGTGCGGCCGCGGCGAGCTGCCGGCGGGGGTGGTGCCCAAGTGCTGCTGTGGGCAGGGCCGTCGGCTGGGCCCAGCCTTTGCGAGCCCAAGCGCAGCCCAGCAGTGCCCTTGTCCTCGAGGGATGGCGGGTGGCTCTGCGTGGCATCTCAGAAAGCCGTGCTGGCCATGCTGGCTGGGGCGAAGATCCGTGGGAGGCTGTCCAGGGTCTCCTCCAGTCGCCGGTGCGCTGACTTGCCATCTTCCCCTGCAAGCACGGGCCACGGTCAGTGAAGCAAAAGGCACAAGTTCTGTTCCATCCCATCCCTAGCCAGCTTCCCATTTTTGTCTTGTGACAAAAATGATGCTGATGCCTGACAGAGCTGAACCAGCGTGGTACAGCCACAGAGCTCCTGCTAACGTGTTGGCACAGCTACCTGGGGAGGTGTGGGAGTGCCCAGAGGAGTTCAAGAACCATGGAGATGTGGTGCTGGGAGGTACGGTCAGTGGACAGGGTGGGACTTGGGGATCTGAGAGTTTTTTCCTAACCTTAGTGGTTCTATGATTCTTACATTCTCCTTAGCACACCCTTGTACAAATCCCATCTCCAGAAGCCCACGGAGTCCCCAGGCCAGGAGCTAGGGCAAGGGGGCCAGGCTCGGGGCTGTGCCAGGTGCAGCATCCCAACCTGCTGTGCACTTCTGCATGCACCCACACAGGGACCCCGAGAGCTTCCCAACACCCCCGCATACACACAGGGATGCACGCTCCATGCTGAGAGATCTCTGCCCAGCAGCCCTGCACACAGATCTGCACACAGCAGCTGTCCCCAGCCGGGCTGGTGACGTGGGACACAGGACACGTGGCACCTATGTGCACAGGCATTGCTGTGGGGCTACGAACAACCAAGACACACAGACTCCAAGAAGTGACATGGCTGACAGGCTCTAAGACAGAGACATTCGTGAGCAAAGCAGCAGGAGTGGGGGCTGAGGGACAAGGACAGCTCACATGTCCCAACCTGTGCAGCAGCTGCCACGATCTGGAGGCCTAGAAACCCACTCAGATGGTTCTCTCAGTGCCATCTAGCAAATAATAAATAACACCCACGCTTAGGGCTGTGCCCGCAGGAATCCTTGCTGCCCACCACCGCTCTCACCCCACAGAGTTTGGGCACCACGAGCCAGAGCACAGGGCAGGCAGGGATCAGCCCAGGTCCTTTTCTCCCTTGGGTGGTGTGACATGGGGTGATGCCCCTCTGGCAGCTGTGAGCAGGGGTGATGCAGGACACTCACCACACAGCATCAGGCTCTGCTTGGCTGCCTCCCGCACAGGTTCCTTGTCTGTTTGGCACAGGTAGACCAGCTGCTCAATGCTCTCCTTGGCCTGTAGGAGAGAGGAGAGGGCTGAGCGTGATTGGCGTCAGCCACATGGATGTGACCCACATGGGAAAGCAGCAAGGTTCCTGCAATGGTAGGTAGCAGGCAGGGCAGACCCCTATTAGAGCTCAACCTCCAGACCAGCCCCGGGCAGAAAAAGTCACAGAATCATAGAATGGCTTGGGTTGGAAGGGACCTTCAAGATCATCCAGTTAGAACCCTTGGCTGTGCCCCCTTTCCCTTTCTACTGTACCCCAGCACATTTGGGGCACCCCTAGGAGCTGGAGGCCGTGCAGAAACAGTAGCAGGCAGCATCAGTTCTTCTCCATCCACCCCACAGCCAGCTCAGCCTGGAAGCAAATACCACATGGGCTTCTTTGTGCACCCATCTCACCTTGAGGCAGCCCAGCGCCACGCAGCCAGCCACGCGTGTCTGCACCTCCTCATCCTCCAGCTGTCCCAGGAAGCACACGAGGGCCTGGGGCAGAGCGAGGGCTCAGTGCCACTGCTCCAAGCAGCAGCCCAGAGCCCACGTGCTCCCCTCCTGCCCATGGCATACCCGCTGGCGGAAGCGGGGGTTTTCCGCCAGGCTGCGGAGCTGCGCCGACACGGCGCTCACCACCTTGCTGTTTCCTTCCACGAGCAGCAAGCTGAGCGCCTTCAGCCCTTCCTTCTTCAGGCGGCCCTCAGGCACACGCTTCAGTGCCCGCAGCACCACGTCCTGGTCGTCTGAGTTGAGGTTCTGTGCCAGCAGCACTGTGGGGACAGCCCGGTGAGCTGAGCATCCGTGGGGAGCTCGGCCTCCACCCACAGCAGGCGGAGGGACCCCACATAGGATGCTGGGGGCACCCGAGTTGCGGACCTGCAGAAAGTGAGGTCCAAAGGGTGCCCAGGATGGGAGCGTAGGAGGGGGCTGAGCACCAGCAACAGTCAGGGTGAGTGAGCCTTTGGGTGATACCCCATGGTGCTGTACACCCCACTGCCTCCAGCTCAGAGCCTGGCAGAGGGGCACCCACCTTCCTCCGCCAGCTCCATCACGTAGGTGTCGAGCACCAGGGCGCCGAGGGACTCAAAGTGGCTCCAATACTGGAAGATGGTGACCTGCTCACCCTGGGTGCCACCGGGTCGTCGTGGCAGCCGCCGGTTCAGCACATCTTCCACCAGCTTCACACATACTGCGGGAAAATAACGAGGTCAGGGTGTGCAGTACCTCGTAGGGTTGGAGATTCTCTTCCTGCACACCCACAGGCTCACCCGCATCAGCCAGTCCCGGGTGCCGCTCGCTGATGGGTGCTGCGTACTGCGCACTGAGCACCTGCAGGAACCGCTCCACGGGGCAGGTGTAGATGTTGGGCAGCTCCACGCAGTGGTCCCAAAGGGGCAGCACCCCTTCTTTCCGCGTTGAGAACTGCACCACTGCAGGGACAGGCGGTGTCAAGCCACACATCCAGCTGGCAGATCCCTCCTGCGCAGCCCCTTGCTGCCCTTACCTCCGGCAGCAGAGCCCGCTGCTTCCAACCGCTCCTCCATCAGTTGGCACACGATCTCCAGCACCTGTGCCTCCCGCAGCAGCCTGTCCAGGGCAAACATCTCCCGGCACCTCAGAGGCCCAAAGGTGCCCAGGTTCTGTAAGGCACAGGTATGCCAGTGACCTTAAGGACAGCATGGTGCCCAGACCCCAGCACAGCAAGGCATCTCAGAGGGGCTTACTGCGAGGAGCCATGGCCAACCCCACCACGTGTCCCACCATCACGCCCCAGTCCCCAGTCTCACCAGCAGCAGGCGGTTGCAGTTGTGGAGGTGGAGCACCAGGGCCTTATCCAGGAACTCATTGCTGGTGCTCATGGGGTCTGCGCTGCCCTCGGAGCCACTGCACGTTCCAGTATCATCTGCTCCCACCTCACCAGCACTGGGAGCCCTGCTTCCACGCCGCGCTCTGCTGGCCCTCCTGCAAACCAGCGAGAGACTGAGCCGGATCAGCACAGGGCACCTGAATCCAGCCCTTCCTTCCCCACTAGAGCTCAGCACCCCAACCCCTGCTGCTCTGTGCCTCTTCTATGAGACACTGCTCCGCACACCTCTCATCCTGCAGAGCCTCTTCCTCCGAGCCCTCCGAGTCCTCCATGTCAGAGGTGTTGAGGAAGCTGAAGCTCTCCAGAGCGTGCTCCACTGTGAGGCTGATGCTGGAGGCACGGCTGAGAAACACACCCTGCTTGTGCTGCGAAGGAAAGAATGGTCAGATCTTAGCAAGCCACTCTAAGGGGCCTCACTACCCTCATCCCTGAGTCAAGGTCAAGGATGGCCCCACCACTACAGTCATTGTCATGAGGGATGTCCCCAGCACTGTTGTAACAATTGGACAGATCAGTATGATTGAAAAAGGTGCTTCACCAGAGGTGTAGTAACAAAGGATCAGCACGACAGAAAGATGCTATAAAGGAAGGGAAGAAGATTGCTTACCCATACCAGAAGATCCCAGGTTCACAAGGGAAAGCTTCACCAAGGAGAGATCTCCAACCAGAGACCCTTCCCCAGAGGCAGCCAGCCCTTAAATGAGGTCTAAGAGAGGTGCAGCCAAACTCCACCCCTTCCTATCACACAGCTGAACTGCCTTCACCTGTGCTCCCAGGACTGACCGGGTCCCTTCCTCAGGTGCTCCATCAGTGGTTCAGGAACTCAACAGTTCCCATACAACTGTTGTCACTGAATGGTGCCAACATGGATGGGCCCACCACCCTTGTACTCTGGGCAGTACCATCCAGATGACCCCACCAGCCTCATCCCTGGTCACTGCCACCCGGGATGGTCCCACCAACCTTGTCCCTTCAGCAGTGCCATCAGGGATGGCCCCAGCACCCTCATCACTGCCATAAGGGATGATCCCACCACTATTGTCACTGGTCACTGCCATCAGGGATGCCCCAACCACCCTCACAGCTGAGCGGTGCCATCAGGGATGGCTCCACCACCCTCGTGCCCTGGGCAGTGCCATGGCTCTTGTCACTGTTCCCTGCTGCTGACTCCCTCTGGGCCTCCTCACCAGCAGGATCTCCTCCAGATGTTTGAGTTCCCGTTCCAGGGGCTGCAGCTCTGGAAACTGTCCCCGATAGTCATCCAGGGCCGAGGCCAGGAGGCTG